CCACTGGGCTTTTGGGAACTGCAACCAGGGTCAACCACCAGTATCCTCTAACCCCAAGTGCTGATCTCAGTGAAATCATCTACAGTTGGGATTGTAACATTGCCTTCAATTAATGGCAAGGTTTGGACGGTCCTTTTTTGTGTGATTCCTTTTAACTGAGGGCACTAAGCCAATTTCATGATGAATTTTAACAGAATCACACCAGACTACTTTATAAGCCAGAATCTTAGGGAGTCGAATTGAAAAACGGCTTCTCAGTATTTTCCGAGAAACAGCTTGCTTTCCAAGTCAATCCCTGGGTGTGGTTCCTTCCTTGTTTTCTGATCTCCCTGGGAGATTTCAAGGTCTGGAAGGGAGACCAGTCCATCAAGTCTTTTCTTTGACATCACCAGGAGAATACACAGGTCATTATGAAGGACTTATGCATCATTTACTTTGTCTGCTGTCAATGACAGGCAAAATAAGACCAGGTCCTTCTTCTCAGACTAGGATGCTAATAACCTATTTCCTGGGATGTGCTTTACCTGAATATGCTTGTTTCTCACAGCCGGAGTCCGCGGCTTTCTCCTCACAGTTTAACGATCCTCACTTGTATGTGTGGAATGTGACTGGCAACAGACTATTGCACCGAGTGGAGGGAGTGAGGCTGAAAACACGGCCAGCTCAATGCACAGATATTGTCAGCATCAAAAGACAACTTGAGATGCTGGCACGAATGAAAGTCACCCACTACAGGTTTGCTCTGGACTGGCCCTCAATCCTTCCCACGGGTAACCTGTCCGCGATCAACCGACAAGCTCTGAGGTACTACAGGTGTGTGGTCAGGGAGGGGCTGAAGCTCAACATCTCCCCCATGGTCACTCTATACCATCCGACCCACTCCCACCTGGGCCTCCCCAGGCCGCTGCTGCACAGCGGTGGGTGGCTGAACGTGTCGACAGTAAAAGCCTTCCAGGACTACGCCCGGCTGTGCTTCCAGGAGCTGGGGGACCTGGTGAAGCTCTGGATCACCATCAACGAGCCTAACCGACTGAGTGACATCTACAGCCGCACGAGTAACGACACCTACAGGGCAGCCCACAACCTGCTGATCGCCCATGCCCTCGTCTGGCACCTCTACGACCGGCAGTACCGGCCAGCGCAGCGCGGGGCCCTGTCTCTGTCTCTGCACTCGGACTGGGCGGAGCCCGCCAACCCCTACGCGGACTCACACTGGAAGGCGGCCGAGCGGTTCCTCCAGTTCGAGATCGCCTGGTTCGCAGAACCCCTCTTCAAGACCGGCGACTACCCGCTGGCCATGAGGGAGTACATCGCCTTCAAGAACAGGCAAGGGCTGTCGCGCTCCACACTGCCTCACTTCACCGAGGAGGAGAGGAGGCTGGTCAAGGGCGCCGCGGACTTCTGCGCGCTGAACCACTTCACCACCAGGTTCGTGATGCACGCGAGCCAGAACGGCAGTAGCTACGACGCGGACAGAGACGTCCAGTTTCTGCAGGACATCACCTGCCTGAGCTCCCCCACCCGCCTGGCCGTGATCCCCTGGGGAGAGCGGAAGGTGTTGAGGTGGATCCAGAAAAACTACGGCCACGTGGATGTCTACATCACGGCCAACGGCATCGACGACCAGTCTCTGGAAAACGATGAACTCCGAAAATACTACTTAGAGAAATATATTCAGGAAGCTTTGAAAGGTGAGGTTCTGAGCCCATTTCAAAAACAGGAAAGCACGAAAGTCTTAGGTAATGGGAACAAAAGAATGAGGGGACAAGATTCATCAGTGACACTGTGAGCTCATTAAAGCAAGCTTGGTAAATACATAGAAATGCATTGATTTTTTAAAATCTCCTGAAATTTCAATCCCCAAACAATATCACTGATGTTCGGATTACTTGGTGTGCTTGCTAGACAGTTTTATTAGATGACTCATAATTCAATTGATCCAACTTTTTCCCAGTATCACATTTTAAGTTCCATATCAAAGTACCTAGTAATCATTGCTTTAATAGTTGCTCAATAAATCGTGTGCACACATTGCAGGTATTTAAACACTGTTTGATGAGGTTTTTTAAAGATTTTGTTTTTGCATAGAACTGGAATGGGGGAAGGGGATAGGATTCACTAGAGACAGAATGGTTAGCATAACAGGTAGATCTACTGAAATACTCTGAGGGGAACAGCAGGTGAGACAGGAGAGATCTGATGTGCCATGTGCTCCCTTTCAAGGGATCAAATTCAGGCCTTTCATGGGGCCATTCGAGGTGGTAGCACTGAGACTTAACCGGTAGGAACCCTGTTTTGAACTTAATTTTTTAAAGTTATTTATATATAAATCTTTGATTGCTGATTATCTCCTTAGGGTGGGTTGTCTAGTGGAATTACTGGGTCAACTGTTATATTTGAAAGAACTTACCTTCTTCCCCAGCACTGGCCGTGACAATTTTTTATCTTTATAGTCCATTTGTGATTAATGTTTGTTCTATTTTTTTTTTCAGCATACCTGATTGATAACATCAAAGTCAAAGGCTATTATACATTCAAACTGACTGAAGAAAAATCTAAATCCAGATTTGGATTCTTCACATCTGATTTCAAAGCTAAATCCTCAATACAGTTTTACAACAAACTCATCAGCAACAATGGCTTTCCTTCTGAGAACAGTAGTTCTAGGTGCAGTCAGAATCATAAGAACACAGAGTGTGCTGTCTGCTTATTTCTTATGGAGAAGAAACCACTGATATTCTTTGGTTGTTGCTTCTTCTCTACCCTGGCACTACTTCTATCAATTACCATTTTTCATAAGCGAAAGAGAAGAAAATTTTGGAAAGCAAAGAACTTACAGCACATACCATTAAGAAAAGGTCAGAAGAGAGTTCTTAGCTAAAATGATGTTTGTATGACATTTAAAAAACTCACTCCAGTTCTACATACTGGCAACATACAGAGGATACACCTACAATGTTCAAAGAAAATTTGCACTATTCATGGTAATCAAGGTCATGACAATCCGTATCTCTGCTGTATGGTTCAAATGAATTTTCACTTAGATATTATCAATTTATTTTTTCTGAAGATCAAGGCTTTGCAGAGTAAGCTTTATGGACTATGTACTATACCGCTTCATTAAGTTTAAAGAGTATTTTTGACTATTCTCTAGCCTTCTTTATAAATACAATAGGCATGTATAATAAAATTATTTTGAAAAGGTATACTTTGCTAGCAATTGTAACAGAGACTTAAAAGTTAACACTGGATCATTAGTGATATTGTCACTTTTAACAAGGTGCTTTCTTCTTTTGGTCAAGGTGGTTCTCAAAAAGGGAATTAAAAACATAATGGAGTAAATAATGCTTTATCTATAGCCAGTTATAGCACTCTAAAGCACAACAATCATTTTACTGAACAGAATAAAAGTATATCATTTTATGTACATCAGATTTTGTGAGACTCTCCTTTAATCAGATCTAGTGTTTTAAAAAAAATCTCCTAAAACTCATTTCATGGTAAGATTAAAGAATTAAGAACTAGATCCAATTGCCTTTGAAAGCAGGGAAGTTACTTAGCCTCAATGCAGCAATTTCCTTTTCAGACAAATATCACTCTTCTACACTTGACTTTTTTAAGATTTATTTGTGCATACAGGTCAGGGGTACAGGCTAAAGTTGCAGGGGCGGTTAGAAGATTCACCAGAGATAGAGTGTGGAGCAGAACAGGCAGACTGATGAAGTACACAGCTGAGGGGAGCAGAGGGCGGGTCATGCAGGGATCAAACTCAGGCAGGGATCAAACTCATGCTGAAGTGGCTTTAGCTTCCTAGTGCTGTGCTTTAACCCGCTGTGCCCTCAAGGAGGGCCCTGCACTTGACTTTTGAGGTGATAAACAAGTTCAGATTCCTTAAGACAAACATTTTAGATAGTTTTACCAAATGATCAAAGGATACTTTCCTCCCTGCTTCACTATTTTGGCATAATACAAACTGGGGCGGAGGGTGTAAACTGCAGTCAGATCTAGATCTAGTAACTGTGACTTTGCATGTGATTCAGAATGGTGGTGTAGAGTTAAAACTGAATTTATACAGCACCTTTTGAAAATGGAATTCTTAAATCTGAATTTGGAAAAATTGGACTTTCTTGAACTCTGTTTTGTTCAATATATTGAAAACATGAATGTATAGCCATTCTTTCTTTAGGTTAACATCTAAATATAACTGCCCACTACACACAGTAGTTAATTACCTATACTCTCCAGGAATTCAAACTTTTAAGATCTAGAAGTCCGTTAAGAACCTTGGTAGGGCCCTTCCTGGTGGCACAACTCGTTGAAGTTCAGCACTGGCTGCAGTCACTGCAACAAAAATTTGATCCCAGCCAAGGCTACTCACAGGGTGTAGCAGAAGGCTCCTGTCCCACCCACTGCTCCTCTCAGCAGTGTTTGCTCAATTTACCTGTTCTGCTCCCAACTCTGCTTCTGGTGAAAACTCTTACCACTGCCACCCCCCCAACCCCAGCACCTCTGGTCTGTGCCCTAGTTCTTCTATGCATAAATACTTAAAAAAAAAAAAAAAAAACTTGGTGGGGCCCTCCCTGGTGGCGCAGCAGCAGGTTAAAGCACTGCATTAAGAAGCTTAAGCCACT